GGGTGACTTGACTTGACTTTTCCCAACTAAGAAGTGCTAAACTAGAATTTTTGGGAACATATAGGTAAAATTGTATAGCACTAATTAAGTATACAACCCTCCCTGGTTGCATCCTCTTACACCTGTGGTTCTCAACCTTTCCAATGCCACGACCCTTTAATACAGTTCCTCATGTTGTGGTGACCCCCAACCATAAAATTATTTTTGTTGCTACTTCATAATTGTAATTTTGTTACTGTTATGAATCGTAATGTAAATATCCGTGTTTTCTGATGGTCTTAGGTTCTACAGCAGCAGTTCTCAACTTGTGGGTTGGGACAGGCTGAGAACCGCTAGCAGGGTCATCTGCAGCCAGAGCTGAGACTCATCTTAGCCTTATATCTTATGGAGGCTCATTTTTGTCCTACATTTTATAGGGGAGTATGGGGTGCATTGTGCGAATGTCATTCCCTTCTGTTAGGTTTGAAGGTCTATGGGGGGGAGGCTGATGACTTTCAAGATTGAAACATGGAAAAAGCCCTTTGGATTTTTCAGAGACTTCCAACAGGAGTTTCTAAAACCCACTTGTTCACTGGTTCAAAACTATACCAGGAAATGTCTTCAGAGCTCAGCACAGTGGTCTGAGAGAACTTGAGCATAGAATTAGCTCTCAGTAAAGATTTGTGGAGTGTTGGTGGCTGCATGAAACACAAACATCACCCGCCCCACCCCATGCCCACCTGCAGAGGCAGCTCCAGTTGGCCTGTCCCACGCCATGCTCTGGAATGTGCTGATCTTCCTTCCTAGAGAAGAGGACACTGTGAAGAGTGTTACTATTAGCAGGGAAGTTTGGGCTCTGATCTGTCAACTCTCCCTCATCTCAGGTCTTTACTGAGCAATGACAAACTCAAGAACCTGTGGCAGTCAACTCGGCAGTCCACCCTCTCTTGAAATTTTTCTTTGACGGCTGTGACCCCAGGCTTGCCTGGTTTGGGTCTTACCTCTCCAGCCATCTTCTCGGTTTTCTCTGTTGATCCTTTCTTTTGAGCTTTAAATATTTCATTCCTCAAAGCTCGGTCCTAGATATTGTTCTCTCTTCTCTTCTTTCTTTGTGCCTTTTTTAAAAAAAATTTCCTAGATAATTTCACTAATTCTCACAGATTTAGCAAAAATTCTTAATATAATGTCTAGTTTACACTTCTCTTTTGAACTCTAAACACACATATTTCACTATCTACCTGACATTTCCACCAGAAGCCTCACAGACTTCTCAAATTCAACAAAGTGAATCTTCCCCCCCCCCCCCCGCCCCACACACACACATTTGGTCCCTGTATGTTTACTGTGGTCTTCCTCACCTGAGCAAGTTTCTTGCAGCCCACATAATTTCTTAGGTCAGAAACTTGAGAATGATTCTCATCATATTCCTCTTCTCACTCTTCTGAAGTTCAAACAATAGTTAAGTACAGTCAATTATATCTTTAATATTTCTCAAATCCCCACCTTAGTTTAATCATCCCGTGTCTCTGCATCAGCTTCCAAACTAATTTCCTGTCAACAATTCTTCCATCTCTACACTACCCCTCCTCACCCTCCATTTTCCTGCCCCCTTCATTCCCCAACCCTCTCAAATTCTCTCCTTAGCAGTTCCTCCCTCCTTCCCACTCTCCCTCCCTCCCTCCCTTTCTTCCTCCCTTCCTCCCTTCTTCCCTTCCTTCTTCCTTCCTTCTATCCTTCCTTCCTGATGATTTTAGTTTTTATTTGTGTTTTCCTTATCCAAAAAGATCTTTTCAACTTTTTATTTTGAAATAATTATAGCATCATAGAAAGTTACTAAGTATATTACAGAGAGGTCACATGCACCCTTCAACTAGTTTCCTGCACTGGTAACATCTTACATAATTATAGTTCAATATCAAAACCAGTCAATTGAGCCCGGCTAGTGTGGTTCAGTGTTTGAGCGTGGAGCTATGAATCTGGAGGTCATGGTTCAATTCCTGGTCACGGCACCTGTCTGGATTGTGGGCTCCATGCCCCAGTGCAGGAGGCAGCCAATCAATGATTCTTATTATTGATGTTTCTCTCTCTCTCTCTCTCTCTCTCTCTCTCTCTCTCTCTCTCTCTCTCCATCTCTCTCCTTTCTGAAATCAATAAAAAATATATATCTTTAAAAAATAGTCAATTGACATCAATGCAATTGCAGATCTTATCCATCTTTTATTGGTTTTACATGCACACACACTGTGTATTTATGTGTGTATATGCATAATTCTCTGCAATCTTACTATCTAAGTAATCATCACCACAATCAATATTCAGAACTGCTCCATCATTCCAAGGATCTCTCTTGCTAAAGTACATTCCTTTGAAACACAATGTGATCCAGTCCGTGCCTTCCTTCAGACTCTTTAATGATTTTAAAGCCCCAAATCCTTAAATAAGGGATGCAAATGCCTGTGTAATCTGGCTCCAGCGACCTTGCCAGCCGCCTCCTGCCTTTCTCCGCTTGCTCACCAAGCCTCTGCTCACTAGCCTTTCTTTCGCTCAATTCGCCAAGTGCTGCCACTGCTCAGGCCTCACACCTGCTATTCTCCACCCGGAATGCCCCCCTCTCCATGCAGCTAATGCCTCGCCTCTCAGGAAAGGTTTCTTTGGCATCTCGGACTAGGTTAGGCTCTCCTCTGGCTTGTTTTCGTTGCCAATTATGGTTTTCCTTCATGGCACTTATCACACAGTTGTAAACAAACAGATACGAGCATAGTTCGTTAATTTGAGTTCTCTCTAATGAGATGTGTTGGGGGTATCTTGCCCACCACTGAATCTGTTCTGTCTAGTGCAATGGCTGGCTTAACAGGTGTCCAATAAATAGTCATTCATGACTATTATAAACTGGCTGGTTCTGCTTGGGGTGTGGCCCGAGCCCATGGAACTGGGCAGAGCTAACTTGCTTGTATAGTTACCTGCTCTACAAACCCATCTGTAACCTTCCCAAGGGTTCCCTGTCTGAGACCATGGGCATGTGTGGCCCTTACCATTCAGAATCTCAAACTGGTATTTTCTTTCCTATTCCAATCCTGGTGTTCTCTCTGAGAGACTGGAATAGGAATGACCCTGGCCACTGTTTTTAAAAAAAATATATTTTATTGATTTTTCACAGAGAGGAAGGGAGAGAGATAGAGAGCTAGAAACATCTATGGGAGAGAGTCATCGATCAGCTGCCTCTTGCACACTCCCTACTGGTACATGTCCTTGGTACATGCCCTTGACTGGAACCGAACCCGGGACCCCTCAGTCCACAGGCCGATGCTCTATCCACTGAGCCAAACTGGTTTCGGCCACTGTTCTTAAATAGACCTTTGAGATGCTTTATCAACTGGATGTTCACCCAGGCTTTTAATGCCAGGCTTCTTTCCCTTCAGGGTCACTGCCAAAGTGTCACTTTGAGTGGGTTATTAGTCCAGAGTGTGGGAGTCTCTAAGCTGGATGTCTCCTGAGAAGTCCTTGAAAAGCTTTTAGATCAGCCTTCACCTCGGTACTTATACCTGCTCTTTGCTAAGTGGCACCCACGGCCCCCATCAATGAGTTATTTGCACCCCCCACTCTTACTCCCTCGGAGATGACAGTGTGATTTGTATTTGTGGTGCCCTAAATTTGAAGGGTCCTTACATTGACTGAATAGACAGTGTGTACCCCAAATGACCCTTATGTCACTAGCTCGGAGGATGTGGAAAGGAGGAAATGGGAGCCTCCTCCTGGGATGGCTTTGCCAAGGGGTGGCAATACCACAGGGGGTCCTGACCACCTGTGGAGGGCACTGGGTTGGTGAAAGTAGCTCTAATCAGCACCCCCACCCTTGGTCTCTAGTGTCCCCCTTTAGAAGTACATAATAACTCACATGAGAGAGGCAACACAACGCCCTATATGGTGGGTTGGGCAGTGTTGGAGCTCTGGAGAAGGATGAAACCCCAGCAGTAGGCAACGCTGTCAGTTCTTTTGTGATAGAGTCAGTAATGGGCTTTGCCCTGAGTGCTCTGGGCCAACTGACAGCACTGGGAAACCCGAGAGCATCATCCAAGTTTCCTTCCCCTGCCAAATAGAAGGTCAAAGGTCTTCACATGCTGTGGCTCAGATCTGTCCTCTCACTGCCCGAGTGTCTCTTTTGGGTGAGCTGTGGCTGACAACAGAGTCCAGTTCTGCAGGCCAAGCCTCAGAATTGGTCCATTGAGGCTGTGGGCTCTAAGGTGATAGCTTAATGCCTCTCTCTGGTCCTGCAATTGGCTTGGTTAATGTGATACTCTGGATGGAGGAAAGAGTTAGAGCCAGCGACCAGTCCTTTTAGGATAGACCTGGCCATTATGTACCCTTTGCTGTGATGCTGCATTTCTTGGCCCTCCCTGCTAGGCTACGGCCCCCTGTGGCCCCTGGTATTGTGCAGGTGTGGACTCCCACTGATCTCCCGGGCATGCCCAGGGCTGCTTCGGATAACAGTGCAAAGCCTCGCAGAGCCCCTGATTTCTGTCCCTAGAATCCTCACCAACCCCTCTCCTGTGCCCTGAGGCAGTGTGAACACCTTTGTGGATCAGAAGGCCCAGTTACAAATAGCTTTCGTGTGTTGCTCTTGCCATAGTTGATGCTGGGGCCGGGGGATGGGTGGATGACTCTCACAGTTGCAGACTTGTGCTGTGTGATATGCAGTGTCCTTTCTGTTCTCTCTGATCTCCACTTTCTGTCCTCATAACTGGCTACACCTCTAGGGGAATGTGCTCTCAAGGCAAGAGGATTTGGATGGTATTGATCCCTGGTGGAAAGGTTAATGCCCGTCTCTCTCTTTAGGCCTTGATCTGATGATGTAATTGTGGGTAGTGTGGGGAGGGCGCCCTCTGGGTTCCTAGTTTGTTTCCCAACACATGCTCCCCTCACCCTCTCTCCAAGTTGGGCATAAATGTGTTTTCAGTTAGTGGTGTTGAGAGGTGACAAGTCAGACCCTCTGGCTCTAACGCTGCCGTTTCCGCTTCCTTTAGGTCACCCGACCTGCCTGCAGTTCACCCTGAACATGACTGAGGCTGTCAAGACCTACAAGTGGCAGTGCATAGAGTGCAAATCCTGCATCCTCTGTGGGACCTCGGAGAATGATGTGAGTTGAGGCTTCCACCAGGAGGTAGAAGTCCATGGGGCTGGGAGTCCTTCAAGGGTAGAAGAGGAAAGCTGGACTCTTGTAATTGGGCTCCTGGAGGAAGGGTCAGTCAGGACCTTCCCTTTTTCCTTTGACCCCAGAACACTTGAGACCCTTGTACCACAGGGTCTTGGTTACCTCAGGAATAGAGTATATTAAAAAGGCACCATAAATACTTAATTCTTTCCCTTTCTTATTAGTTTTTAAATATAACAGGGTGGGTTCAATGTCTATTTGTGAAGAAAACACTTAAGAAAATAGAAATTGTAGGATACTTTCTAAATATGATAAACTTTTTTTTTTTTTTTACCTTAGAATGAAAGCCATTATCTTACTTATGGGGAAACACAAAGCATTTCTACTAAGATCAGGAAAGAGATAAGGATGCCCATTATCTCTACATTTAGAGATATTAGCTAAGGCAGTTAGACAGGAGAGACCAACTAGAAGCATAAGTTGATAACAAAGTAGTAAAATTCAATTTTTTTCTTTTTAGTTAAATTCTATTTCATAAGCTATAATAGTATATCTGAAAAAATCAAAGAAAATGAATGATAATGCTAATTCAAATATTAAAAGTAGCGAGATATAAAATTACCATGCAAAAATTAATAGCCTTCATAGGCACAAATAATAGCAAATAATAGCAAATAAGTTAGAGGACAAAATAGTAGAGAAACTCTACTTATAATAGCAACAAAGAAAAATACGTAAAAATAAGGTTAATAGTAAATGTGTAAAACATATGAAGAAAATTTTAAAAGACATTTGAAAAGATACAGTAGTAATCTTGTACAAATGAAAAGACATTGTGTGATTTTAGATAGAATGAGTCAACATTATAAAGATGTCAGTTCTTCCTAAGTTAATTTACAAATTTAATTCAAGTCCAATAAAAACACCAGATTGTGTGTTGTTGTTTTTTTAATGGAACTAGACAAGTTGATACTGAAGTTCGTATGGAAAGAAACATGCAAGAATAGCAAAGAAAACACTGAAAAAAAATTTTAAGGGGAGACTAGCCCTATGAGATGTTAAAACATACTGAAAAACCTGTATAATTAAAATAATACAGACAAATAGAACAATGGAATAGGATAGAAAACCCATAAATTGATCCAACTACATCTGAACATTTAGTATAGGATAAAGGGTCCATCTAAAATTACTGACTCAAAGATGGACATTTCCATAAACGGTGTTGGGCCAATAGAATAACCATTTGCAGAAAGGTAAAATTACGTCCACATAATACATGAGAACAATCTCCAAATGGATTGGGTATGTATCTATAATAATAAAAGTGTAATATGCTAATTAGACTGGACAGCCGAACATCCTTTCAGATGAAGCCGCCCAGCGGGGGCAAAGGCAAAGGCGGTTAGGGGCAATTAGGTAGGCAGGCAAGTGGTTAGGGATGATCAGGCGGGCAGGCAAGTTGTTAGGGGCGACAAGGCAGGCAGGTTAGGGGTGATGAAGAGGCAGGCAGAGTGGTTAGGGGCGATGAGGCACACAGGCAGGTGAGCGGTTAGGAGATAGTGGTCCCAGATTGTGAAAAGGATATCCAACTACCATTTTAGACCCGATCCCACAGGGATCCCTGCGTGATCAGGCCTAAACTGGCAGTCAGACATCCCCCAAGGGGTCCTGGTTTGTAAGAGAGTGCAGGCTGGGCTGAGGGACTCCCTGCCCTCCATGCACAAGTATCGTGCACTGAGCCTCTAGTCTAAGTATAAAAAATAAAACATATTATTACTAGAAGAAAACATGGGTAAATTCATTTTTAACTTATATATAAGGAAATACTTTCTGTGACTCAAAATTCAGAAGCAATAAGAGAAAATATTAAAAAAAAACTTGACTACAATATTTGCATAGTAAAAAATGCAATAAACTAAAAGGACAATGTACAAACTGGGAGAAAATTTGCAGCATTTACTACAGATAAAAGGCTAGTATCACCAATATATAAATAACTCTTAAAAATTGAGGGACAAGGGTTAAGAAACCTGATAGAGAATGGTAAAAAGACATATAAATAATTCACAAAAGATATGTAAATGGCCCCCCAAATTTGGAAAATAAAGTTCAAATGTACTTATAAAGAAATTCAAGTTAAAACTAAATGGAGATTCTATTTCTTTCCTATAAAATTGAAAAAGCACCTTCATACATTGTCAGTGGGAATATAAAATGGTACAACCCTTCTGAAGGGAAATTTAACAATACCTAACATAGCTACTGTGCACTTACATATTGCTTTAGCAGTTTCACCTATAGGAATCTACTCCAACAATAATCACTATATATCCTAACGATACAGCACTATGCAAATACATGTGTATAAAGTTATTCATGTTTGATTGTTTATACTTGAAAATATTGCTCATTCATAGAATGGTTGAATAATGATGGTATAGCCACATAATGGAGTCTATGCAGCTGTTAAAAAAATGAAAAAATGAGGCAGATCTTTATGAATTTATATGGAGTGATTTCCAGAACATATTTTTAATGAAAAAAAAAAAGTAAATTAAAAATGTTTAGTATGCTACCATTCTTGTAAGAAAAGCATGAGAAAATATACATATATCTGTTCACTGTGTAAAAGAAATACAGGATGGATAAACAAGTTGTTAAAGAGATTGGTTGTCTATAGGAGTGAGTGGGAATTGGGTAGAAAGAAAGGGAAAATGAGGATAGGATAGTGTGGATAAGGAGGATGATACTTCTGTGAGAATGCCTTTTTGTATAACTCTGAGTCTTAGAACCAGGGTGTTGTTTCATATACCTACAATAGATAAATACTGAAAAACAACCAGAATGTGGGGGAACCGAAAGTGGAATATGAGCAGTAACAAATTACCCTAACTGTAGTATAAATAGACTAGGGGCCCAGTGCACAAATTCATGCAGGAGTGGGGGAGGGGAACTGCAGGAGGTTGGCCGGCCACGGGAGGTTGGCTGTGGGAGCGCACTGACACCAGGAGGCAGCTCCTGCATTGAGCATCTGCCCCTGATAGTCAGTGTGCGTCATAGCCCCCCAGTGTGCATGTCATAGTTGTTCTGGTCATTCAGTTGTAATGGTTGCTTAGGCATATATATATCCTATATAATAAAGATGTAATATGCAAATGGTCGTTATGCTGTGAAGCATATGACTGACCATGTAATGACCGGATCATGGATCAGCAGGAGGGTGGGGCAATGAGCTACAAGCGGGTGGCAGAGAGCTACAGGAGTGTGCAGGGCAGCAAGCTATGAGGGGAATGCGGGGGGGGGGGGGTGTAAAATGGGGGCCGAGGGAGCTACTGGAGGGTGACAGCGAGCTACTGGTGAGCTACTGGCGCACAGATTCGTTCTCAGGGCTACTACATAACTATACTGAAGGGTGGGGTAGGGAAGAACTAATTTAAGTAACTTTGGAAAGTAGTATTTCTGTATTTTAGAGCTAAAGAGAGAAATAATTATACAAATTTTTTACTGTAATGGGTATATTTGTTTATTACAGGCATGCAAGTTAGTCATTCTGAAACTACATGTACACAGGTCTGAACTAATAACTATATTTAGTGAACAACGAGAGTCAAGTTTCTCAATGTCCTAGAAAAAATATTCAGATCTTTTAAAAAATATTTACATGGTTTTGGGTTGGAATAGGAGGTATTAGTGGGAATTTATGATTTTAATATAATATATTGTATATCCTATATAATAAAAGAATAATATGCAAATTGACCATCACTCCAACACACAAGTTGGCTGCTCCCATATGGTCAAAGATAGCTGCCCCCATGTGGACAGAAGATGGTCGCCACAAGATGGCCTGTAGAGGAGGGCAGTTGGGGGAGACCAGGCCAGCAAGAGAGGGAAGTTAGGGGGGACCAGGCCAGCAGAGGAGGACAGTTGTGGGCGATCAGGCTAGCAGGGAGGGCTGTTGGAGGGAGGACCAGGCCAGTGGAGGAGGGCAGTTGGGGGGGAACCAGGCCTGCAGGGGAGGGCAGTTAGGGATGACTGGGCCAGTAGGGGAGGGCAGTTGGGGATGATCAAGCCTGTAGGGGAGGACAGTTAGGGATTACCAGACTGGCAGGGGAGGGCAGTTAGGGGTGACCAGGCCAGCAGGGGAGGGTAGTTAGGGACACTCGGGCTGGCAGGGGAGCAGTTAGGCATCAATCAAGCTGGCAGGGGTGTGGTTAGGGGTGATCAGGCTGGCAGGCAGAAGCAGCAAGGGGCAATCAGGCAGGCAGGGATATTGGGCCTAAATGGGCGGTCAAACATTCCTCAAGGGGTCCCAGATTGGAGAGGGTGCAGGCTGGGCTGAGGGACTACCCCCCACCCCCATGCATGAAGTTGTACATCAGGTCTCTAGTGTATTTATATACAGGGTGTCCCAAAAAATTTATATATACTTTAACAGCTGATAACTCAATTTCCTAAATGAAATTTTAAAAAACATTGTCTATAATTATTCAACATGTGTATATTTTTGGGGACATCCTATATATCTATAGCTATCTGTGTGCATATACCCGTATGGATAAATACAAAAATAAATATAGATGTGTGCATGTGGATATACACATATATTTATTTATTTCCTAACTCTGTCAGCTGGGAGGGTCTAGAAGCAATGACAACCCAGAAGCAGTGAGGACCTCTAGCACCTAGATATTGGTTTCTAAATACAGTTGATCCTTGAAAAAATGTGGGGTTAGGGTGCCAATTCTCATGCATTAAAAAAATCTGCTGTATAAATCCTGGCTGTAAAAACCAGCAGGGCCTGTGACTGAGTGAGATAGAGGTCTGTGAGTCCCAGGCATTCCTCTTAAAGGGCCCACACATGGACTTACATGGACTCACTCCCTCTGAGCTCCAGTGCTGGGCAGCAGCTTGAAAGGCACCAGGGACCTATGGGGAGGAAATGAATTGTCTGTCATCAGGGTGAGAGCTAGAGGGGCAGC